ACATCATATATTTATTTTAAAACTACCCCCCCTCGCCCATGAGGTTTTTCTGATGGCAAAAACACTAGGAAGCGCTTTTTCTAGCGTTAAAGTGCTACAATTATCGATAAAAGTGTCGCGCGTTGTGATGGACCATAGATTTTATACCGTTGTAACGCGTTAACAGATTCTGCCCCGTTGTACGACATTAAATGATTCAGATAGTGCGCTTTAACGGGATATGTTATTTCTTACATTGTAGCACGTTATTTATTCGTAACTAACGCGTCACCTAACATACTTTAACGGGATAAAAGTCGTAAAACAAAGCCGAGAAATTGGGAAAATCCCTTGCATGAAATCCATCTCAGTCTGTAACCCTGTAATGTTTCTTTAACCGTCGAAAGAAGCAAAACAGACAGACAGTGTGCGTATATGTGCAATTTGCGCTGGTATTGTACCGTTGATATCCGAGAAATAAAATTATATTAACTTTTCTTGTACTGAATAGACTTTCTTTAATGTTTTGCGATAGTTTTCGACGAAATGTCAAGAAGACCATTTACAGTTACAAAAGTCGAAATTGTAATATGTTTAAAGCACTTCGCAATCTAGCGAAGGATGAAACAATCTATATCACAAAGCCGGACAAAGGAAAAGGTATTGTCATTCTTGACGGAAATGACTGTATCGAGAAAATGAATGCTATTTTGGATGATCGCACACCGTTCCAACTAATGAGGGCTGACTCATCCGAAAACTTCTTAAATTAAAAGAATGTGGCTTCGTTTCATCTGAGGAATAAGGTTTCTGCTGCCTTCAGCCCAAATATATAGCTTCTAAAAAGTGCATATTCAAATGAAAGCGGCTTCCAAGTTTGTTCGTATGACGCAACAATGAAGTCTCCAGCACTTTTTACTTCTTCATGGTCAGCGTAGCCGTGAGACATACATTGACCCTTCCTGGCCTCTTCCCTCGAAAACTACACGTCAGTTCTTCAGGATCTTGTTAGCCTACACACTACTCGACTAGTACTACGAGAGGCGCAAGGTATTGACTTTGGCCAGGAGGTTTTTGTTGTGGCGGTTTTCTAGAAATCCCGTAAAAATCCTATCATCCGGCTAGGGGCAGGACCGGCAAAAGTACTAAAGTACCCATAGAATGAAATACTGAACCCGAAGTCACGTTGCTGAACAGTGAGCTTTTTTCTTTTGTCGAATCTTGTCAGTATTTCGCGCCTTTTACTTTGGGAAGATTTTTAAAGTGATATTCGGAATCAGTTTGCTCTTCTGTATCAGAATATGTGTGCTAAATTCAAACTGCTTCAATTTTGAATTAGCTACATCTTAGTATTTTTCAATTCTCTTCCGAATGTCAGGTCAAATTTAGAAAGTAAAACGTGCACCGTGTAGCCTGCGTCGAGTTGTACTTGAAGTCGTCGGAAGTATATCTGGAAATAATCGATCGGCTAAGCTTAGTCTGAAGTGCTCTAATCCAGATCTGAAATATGGTATGTATTTAAGCTGGTTTTGGCGACTTTTCAAAACAAGCATTGAAAATTTCAGAGCCTTGGAAGAAAGATCCATGAGAAAAGTGCATTATTTCGTAACAGAGGATTATTATTAGGAAAAAAGGTCGCTTTTGAAAAACTAACGAAACCTAAGTATTTCACGTTTGGACAAATAATATCTTACTAATAATAATAATAATATCTTTCTCTAAACAGTCACATTCTTCATTTTGCAGGCAGAATTCAACAGAAATATTTGTGGGCAAATCATTTTGGTCATTAACGGAATTGTGAAGGAAATTCTTGAGCTTTCTACAACGAATTCACCCATAGTAGATAAGCTTTTGTCGATGAAATCGCACACTTGGTTGTGATCACTTCTGTTTTTTGACAAAGGTTTTTCGACATCCTCTCCCTTCCTTTGTCGAAAAACAGAAATGGTATTCCTTACAGTTTGAAGATGAATTATAGTATGAAGGAGAGAACAGAGTATGTATTTTTTTCAGGTTGAACAGTTGTGAGACAATAGCAATTAGTAATTCGTTTTCTTTATATTTTATTAACTTGACCACTTTCAAATTCTTCTTCAGACAATAACAAAAAACTGTATCTTATGTATCACTTGTCTTGACCATATAAGAAATGCAAATATGTTCTCATCTTTATAATCCTCGCTCGTCTCCCGACTTGCATATCCTTCTACTGGAAGTTTAGGCTGTTTAAAATGGATAAGAGTTTCTATGCTAGTTTTCTTCTATCAGTAAGAAACTCTCTACGTTAAAGGGCGAACATTCATTTAGGATCTACCTTAAAAGGTACGTGCGAACGGCATTTTCAGTCGTTGGCACGTCCATGTAAACTGTAAGACACTAAGTTTCACCAGGATTAAAAATAAGTGAATCACTTATAGAACTATGCATCGTTGATTAAATAATTGGTCATCGAATTGAAAATTTCTCACAAAACGAAACGGCCAGCATACACTTCTATGATAAAAACTGTAACCTCGAATTGAATAGTAAACATTTCTAAACTATGTATGTGTTTAATAGTATGCTGTTACGAACAAAATGATTGTGTTAAACTTTTTATGATGTCGGACTGTGGATTAAGATTAAAATCAAAATTTGTTAATCGAAATTTCTTTGAACTAATTTACAAATAAAAACTAATACATGTTTAAAGCACTTCAAAGAAACTTGAGTCTATAAATTACTTTAAACTGATTTCCAGTATCAAATTAATGTATATTATTTTTTTCTTTAAACCAGTCCTAACAGACTTGTTGATCGAAATTAACTTAAATGAATTTTCAATCAGGAATTCGTTCCAACCGATTTAACGGACATCAATTTGGTATTGAAAATTAGTTTAAATTAATTCATAGACTCAAATTTCTTTGAAGTGCTTTAAACAAAATTAATTTCTATTAATTTTTGTTCGTAAATTAATTTAAATCAGTTTGTAATAATTAATTCATTTAAACTGATTTAGAAAACATTCGCTAAAATTAATTTCAAAGCCAAAATTATATTAATTTTAAGTCACTAAAAATGTAAATTAATTTCAAGTTTTCGAAACTAAAATAGGTACTTATTTCAGTTCAGAAACATTTTCAAGAGTTTCTAAGACTGCCACTGGATTCCTCTCAAATAGTTGCTTCGGGAAACTTAGCCTCTAACTGTATCAGGTATACTATAGGGTCTTTGGATTTTTTCCTTTTTGACAAAATACTGAAATCTTCGTCAAGTAGTTTGAACTAACTTAGCCTCAAACTAATTTCCACGTAAATTGATTCAAATTAGTTTCAATCTAAATTAGTTCTAACGAATTTTTAATTTAAAATTATTTTTAATTAATGCTGTTCCAAACCAAATTAAATCACTCTAAAATCACATATTCGTTTAAATTAATTTCGTAGGACATTAACCACGATAAGCCTGAAAAAATTATTTCAGATTAATTTTAAACTGTAAACTGTTTTAAATTATTTTCTTTCAGATTAGTGTAAATCGATTTATTACTAAGTTGAGTTAAAGGAGTTTGAAAAAGCATTAATTTAAATTAATCAGAAGCTTCAAATTAGTGGGCAGATTTCAAATTATTGTAAACTAATTCGAAATTCGTGTCATTTAATTAATTTTTTCACGAAAAAATCAATTAAAATTAATTCCAGTCTTTTTCCTAATGTAAATTAATTTTAATTTAATTTGATGATTTGGTTTTATGTTTATTCAAAGATTTACATTGATGCGCATTAATTTTAAACGCAAAAACGTTTTTTAAATTAATATGAACGACTTTCCTTTTAGATTTGTTTAAACTCCTTTAAATCTCAGTTTTAGAGGATCATGAGGCGGAGCTAATAGAGAAATAAAGGTTCTATCTCTTTTTGTTCATGAGTTAACGATTTTTAAACGAAAACGAGAGATTTTGTCCCTGGTTCGAAAGACCATCGATTTTCACCAAGTCGGAATCACGTTATAACTTAGGAAAAAAACATTTTCGAAATCCATTTTGGATGGAGATTTTGGAAATATTTTTTCTAAACTCCCTCTTCTTTCGTTCAACAAATTGCAGGCTCTTTTCTGCCAAAAGCTCTCTTTTTTGAACCTTCCCTTTTTTCAGGTTTTACCTGTTTTGACCTAAAAGAACAACTTTTTCAAACAAATTATACATGGTTAGAATCAACGCGTCGCGGCGCATCAACCCAAGTAATAAAATTGAAGAAAGAATTAGCGCGTGAATTTTGAATTTGCACCTTACCTGCACTGTAAAAGAATATTTTTCGCTATGCAGAGCTTATTTACTTACAGTGAATTAAAGCATTTACTTGGACCAATGCTGTGTGAACAATGTTCCTTTCTCAACCACTGCAAACACTCATTATAAAAACCTCGAAAGACCATCAAAGACATTCTCCCAAACCTGGCATATTTATTAGTGATGATCATCTTCCTATCATATATGATACCCGACCAAAGGGAACATTTCGATTCTTTTATCGGCTGCCTATGATAGACAAACACACATACACACATACAATAAAAAAAGAGAACACACTTTTACATGCAATTAACAACTGTAACTAATGTCAGTATTTTATGATTTTCTTTTTTAACCTTGTTTAATAATAGCGACATTCAAGACTGTTTTTATCAACAAGTGTAATGGAGACAAGTTTTAGAATTCCGGGTACTGATTTTTGCAGCTTTAAAGAGATTTTCCAATGCCAGTCTACATGAGTCAATGTCATTTTTTGTCATTTCAGTAAGAATTGTTTTCTTTCTTTGGCTTTTGTTTTAATATCATCAGCTGAACGCCAAGCCCCTCCTCTCTACACTGCCGATCAAAGCAGACGTTTGCAGTTCCTCCGATTTCATCAACGACTCCTTTACCGTATGAAGTGCAAAAAAATATTCCACGTAGTACTATCGAAACAAGCAGTAAATCACAAACTAGAAAAACCACCAACAATCATGTTTTTGTCACAGCGTTACCGCTATCTGCCTCAAGCTGCAGAGAAGAAACGTAGTGCCGCTAATTCTTTGACAGCTGAAAATTGATCAATATTTTCTAAAGACGGGGTTTGAAGGGCTCATAGATATCCAGAATTTACTGTTTCCTACTCCATAGTGTAGCACAATTAGCCTTCTAAATTCGACGAATGCGATTTTTTTGTTTTTTTTCTCTTCGTGCCTTCTGTGTGCATACAGACAGAAATATAGAAGTCTGACTTGAAATTTATTGTCAAAGTCCTGCCGTTAACGTACAAATTTCGATAAATATAGAAAGTTAGAAAGGAATAGATTTTACATTTTTGTTGACTTAATAGCAGTAACCGAAGTTGCGAGTCTCGTTTTCGTTATCGGGCATGAAAAGTCCCATCATCTTTAAATCGCCAGTGACTTTTGGGCAGGTCTCTGCTCAAAATAAGACTGTTTTTCTGATCCAGAAATTGCTGTAATAATCAGTAAATACTTATATGTAGGTCCTGACAGAGTCACTTTTTCAAATTTCAGATTTGCGGACTTTTAAAAATAGTTTTAAAGCCGAAAACCTCGTAAAGCTGTTTGGCGATTTTCAACGGTCTTGCTTGTACACTAAAGGGAACCTTGTCTTAAAAATCAAGCTTTCTGAGGAGATGTCTTAATATAGTATAGCTCTTAGTTGCAACCAGTTCCGATGAATGCAAACTATGTAAACGTCTGTTGCATACATTTATGGGCGTTCAGATACATGTGACGGAGCGCGTTTTGCAAGTTTTCTAAATTCGAAACGTTTGCTTACATCACCGTTTGCCCATTTCCATCTTTAAAATGAAAATTTCATGTGGAGCTCTGTATTGATGAATCCATAACAACAATGTTACAAAATACAAAAAAAGGATTTATCCTAAAACATAACATATAATACCAACAATGGATGTTGTTTTTAACGGGCCACAAAAATAACGAATATAGTTTGGGTTATACATAACTAATTATCACACTGGATATCTTTCAAACACTTAAGTGAAGTGAATTATCATCAGCAGAAATCCAATGATCTTGATTATTAGTATACCACTCAATTGTATTTTGTATTCCTTCATCGAATTTCACCTGTTGTTTCCAGCCGAGATCTTCAAGTGCATCAGTCATAACCGAATAACGACAATCATTAAAATATCTATCTTTTACATGAATAATAGCATCTTCTAGTTTCATATCTGGACGTATTATTTTCAATAGTATTTTCGCAATATCTATGACTTTAAGTTCATCTTTCGAACCAATATTATATATCATTTTAAGTTTTCCCTTATGGATGACGGTATCAACAGCTCTAACTGTATCATCAACATAGATAAAATTTCGAACATGTTTACCATCGCCGTGAATAGGCATTTTTTCTTCACGTAATATTGCTGTGATAAATCGTGGAATCACTTTTTCCGTAAATTGATATGGACCGTAGACGTTATTACCTCGTGTAATCACATATGGCAATTTAAAACTTTCTCCATACGATTTGACTAAAAATTCGGCAGCCGCTTTAGTTGCGGCATACGGATTAGTCGGATTTAACACAACTGTTTCATGGCAACTACCTAAAATTTAAAAGAAAACCGTAAGATCAAGAAACTTATATAGTAGTTTCGGAATCTTTGTCATCTTATTCTTTTCCCATCAAGAAGAAAATTTTCGGTTCAAGATAAGATAACCATAACTAAATACATTTACCAACTGGCCATTCACCATAAACTTCATCGGTACTAATATGAATAAATTTTCGTAATTTACCATAGATTCGAGCCGCTTCTAATATACAATGTGTTCCAAATATATTTGATTCAGTAAACAAAATACTATTACCAAACGATGTATCAACATGAGTTTGAGCTAAAAAAATAAAATAGATGAGAATATTAATTGAAAAAACAATTTTATTTTTAATATTTTTGAAAAATAAAATGACCTTATTTTACCTGCAAAATGGACAACGTGTGTTATTTCATACTGATTCATTAAATGGAGCATTAAGTCTTTATTATTAATACTAGCATGAATAAATTTATAACGAGATGAATCAGGAATTTTAATATTTTTAATATTTGAACATGTATCCAATTTATCAACATTAATTATATTATCTTCGGGATATGTTTTTAGCCAATGATTAACAAAATTACTTCCAATAAAACCACAACCGCCCGTAATTAGTAAATTTCTTGAATCAATAGAATCTTTTGAAAGTGCTTTTAACCCACGGTGTATACATACATTTTCAATACTTTTTTCTAAATCTGGTAATGTATGTGGTGCATAATATAGATTACGTGTTTCAAGTGGTATCATTTTAATCCATTGTTCAAATTTTTCTGTAGATAATATATTATTTGAGCGTTTTGAAGCCAAACGAGCATTTTGTTCACTTATAGGTTCTAATACATAATTTAATTTGTCACCTGTTTTCTCAGAAATCATTTTTAATATCCACTCATGATCAACCCAACCTTTGTTACATGCATTTATACGACCACTAAATCTTCCATCATGCATCATTGCCAATAAGATTGGTAATATGTCAGATATAACCGTCATACTATTAGGTAAAGAAGTTATTCTTTGATAGCCAAGAATTTTTGTAATAAAATCTCGTGGATCTGCATCATCCGATATTGGCATTCGAATTCGTGCACTAGAATAGAAACTCTTTAATTAATTTCTGTCCTAATATAAATTGAATCCTACCCTAGAGAACGTACTTGATGCAAGTACTTGATTACTTGCTAAGTACTTGTCAATGATCGAAATACTTGCCTTATTGCTAAGAAGTACTTTCTGAAAGTACTTGGCAAGTAAGAACAAGTACTTACAGGTAAATTTACTTCTTGAGAAAAGGCAAGTACCGGCTGCATTACGCAGGCGAAGTACTTGGTTCAAGTACTTGGCCCCAAGTACGTTCTCTGGGGTATCCATACCTATAGAGTAATTACATTTCTCGCCTTATACTGTATAAATAACACGAATTAGACAAATATTACGTACTTGATAAGGTGTGGAAAAGCGTCAATTAAAAGATCGGTAGCACCTTTGACTGTACTATAAGATGAGCCAAAAAAATTTTGTGGATCATTTTCTGTAAATGGATGTGATAAATCATTTGAATCTTCATATTCGTATATACATCCAGTACCGAAATAAAGTGTAGGAATTGGATTTAACAATTTTGAATATTGCATTGTTGCTTGAGCAATAAACATTGGAGCAAGAAGATTATCACGAATGTTTTCTTTCAACTTTCCAGGTTTCTCTAAATAGTCAATGTTTGAAATACCTTCGCCACGTGTTCGGCCAAGGGCACAAATGACACGATCTGGCTTGTATAATGCTATATCATCTTCTACATCTTTTAACGATGTAATACGTCGTCCGGTAACCACTTTCTGTCCGGCAATACTCAGAATTGAACGACAGTGTCCGCCAATCCATCCGTTTGCTCCATAAACTAACCACAACATTCTTTTCTATAAACAACAGTTACACTATCGTTCAATCAATTAATTTTTCTACGTTAAAATAGAATAATAGCTTAATATATGTTTCATTGTGACTGAAGATATTTCTCTTAACTTCGTACCAATAATTTTTACTGTACTTTTTTTCTCTCTCACTCTTGTTATTAAATTGTTCTCTGATAATCTCGTATCTAGGAAGATATATTCTTCCAATATATCTGTTATACACAGGAATAAAAAGGATGACTGCTGTAGATCATGATAAATGTCGCGTAACCATTTTTTAGCAAAATGTTTTCGGAGCCGTGACGAAGTTCATTTTGAAGAGGACGCTTGGCTTGATCTACTAACATGTTTTGCGTAATTTTTCAAAAATTTGATTGTCGCCTCAGAAAACTAGGTGCGGATTATTCATGCTCAGTCAAACTCGTAGTACAGAAACTCGTGTTTGTGCGAATCTCGGGATCAGTATTAACTATTCATGTGTGCAAAAAGACTTTAGTCAGAACAGTTACAGATGCACGACTGAACGTAAGCAGAATCAAGCGAAATTACAAAAACTGATAAAAAGGCGCACGACTGATCTTTCGTAAAACGAATGCCACTTAACGAAAGAACATCGTGGCAAGCACCCATACGTCACATTATGCTCATAAATGTTTACTCTGTCCGATGAGATTGTTTTCAGAAAGTTACCCTTCCAATTCTCGGACTTGATGTTTTCTGGGTTTCCTAAAACCCAACTGCTCCAGAGACCCTTTTCCCCTAATTCCGATACAATTTTCTTATCCATCCCACTAGATAGACCAAATCCTCAACTACTGATATTGCCATTTCTAATCTCTCTTACCCGCCATGGTGCAGTGCAACAGTTCAAAAGAAAATAGTCCGAAGACCTTTCACATCTGCCGTAAGAACTTTTTAGTTTATCTTATATTATCATCAGAATGACAGATTATGTCATAAAGTGCTTTGATGGGCTGTAAACAAGAATACAAAAATGTAAACTTTATTCTTTTCTCACTTTCTATGTTTATGTCTTTATGCGGCCAGAACATACGAAGAGAGAGAAAGAAAAACTGAAACTGAAGCTACTGGAAGTCCGAGTAATCAGAAAAAGGTTTCCGTGAATTTTTAAAGGAGAAAGCTGGATTGTCCACACTCTATCATGCTGGATTTAGAGATGTAAACCGACAAAAAAAGGTCGTCGGCGGCATGTATACGTTTCTAGTTTATTGGCGGCGAAACACTCAAAAAACAGCTGCCGGCGACAGCACGGCGCGGTGCATCGGTCAAAACCTCTAGTTGGGCCTTTCTTCTGTTCCGCAATTCAATGCATATGTGGCCTTTCTTTTAAACTCATATCAGTTTTCCTTTCTAGCTGTCAGTGAATTTGCGTCCCCCCTATTTGCGTCCCCCTCTACCGTCTCTCCCTCATCACAGTCCCATTAACCACCATTAATGAATTGCAAAAGATCGCAAATACCCTCGTGTGGCGGGGTAAACACCCCACAATCAGCTTTAAAACTATAATTGGAAAAAAGGTAGATAGAGGATTTGCCTTATTAGATTTTATGCTCTGCAGTCCATATGCTAACATATACCTTGTATATTGTATGAGTAGACCCGAAGCATCTGAGAAACACACAAAATCATCTTTTCAAACTATATTCTTCATCATCTTCCTTATTGGAAGAGGATGATGACTGATGCATGTGTTGCTTTTTGGATTCATGTTCACTTTGTGCTGCTAATGTAGATTTATCTCAAAGGCACTACTGCTTAGATACATTTTCATTGTAGCCTGATCTCCTTTATACAACTGGTATGCATCTCCCACAAAGGGATGATCAAGAATTGACATTGGCGAAAATAGTTGAAGCTTGCGTGTACTTGTCACCAAAACACTGCCACCTTGATTACTATCAAGTGTGGTTGGATTTATGTTTGTTTCATTGATAATACCCTCGTGAGGATCATCTTCACCACTCGGCATATCCGTAGGACTATCATGATTCTCATCAACATTATTTTCCTGATTCTCACCTTCTTCCACCGTCTGACTTTCTACTTTGTCTTCGTTACGGATATTATACAGTCACGTTTTAAATGACCCGTCTGTTTACAGCGGAAACAGACTCTTTCTCGTCCCGCAAGATGCACTGGAATCTAATAAGGCAAAACTTCTAGATACCTTTTTTCCAATTATAGTTTTAAAGCTAATTGTGGGGTGTTTACCTCGCCACACGAGGGTATTTACGATCTTTTGCAATTCATTAATGGTGGTTAATGGGACTGTGATGAGGGAGAGACGGTAGACGATACAACTCAGAGCGAAAACTTTCAATATTGTACTTCTCTCTAAATGAGAGAGGCTAACTTGCGACCACACCCCCAAATGTTGTTTTGAAGACATTTTGAG